TATTTCTGCAGAAAGGAACTTTGTCAAAGTCAGGAATTCAGAAGTCCCTTTCATGGCTGCTGAGTCTATATCAGCATGCGTGGGCTGACATTAGGAAACATCCACATTTAATCAGTTGAAAAGTTAAAAAAGCAGATATAACCAAAGGTTTTGTTTATGTCCAAGACTGTCAAGAATTTAGCTTACAACAATTATTCTCTTTCTGACAGAATCACTATTTAACCAGTGGTTAAATTAGAAGTTTCCCAGTTGATTAGGATGAGAAATCTTGGCAAAGACATGGACTATTTCTCCTTCTACAATCCTCATCAAATAAGGGGCATACAACAAATTGCTCATCTCTGATCTGCAATTCTCCCCTCCACCCAGCTGTAAATTTGAATTAATTAATAAATGCCCTTATGCTTTCAAGGTCATGGAAAATGAAAGGCACTCAGCAAAATGGATGCACTGCCAGTGAAGGCTTTTTTTATGCAAATGTAAATTTTGTAAGGCAGAGGCTCTTTCATCTGTGCCATATGAGTGCTGACGTTAGATTTAAAAGAAAAGCAGTGTAAATAGATCATGTTTTGAATAAATGTAACCTTTCCTAGAGAAACCAAGGCTTTATATAAGAGTGTCAAAACATACGATAAAGCCAAAGTTGCTATTAAGTCAAGGGTCAAGAAAAATTACTATGTCTTTTGTTATTCCCTGCTCACAGAATAGAAAGCTCTGCTTTCTAATGACACTGTCCAGAAAGAACAGATACCCGAGGCTTCTACGTCTTGCATGGCAGCCAAAGCAATCTCATGAAGATGCATCTTTTGCAAGGTGGGACAACTACATTCACTCACCTCCTCAAAGGTTCTGACTCAGTATGAAACCAGCAAGTCCCATGGCAGTGACAGCTAATAACTCCTGAAAAGCAGGGAGCATTGAAGAATTGATTGGAAAAAAGTGCTTTTACTTACAAGAAACAGAAGCAGCAACTGCTTCTAGAAGAAAATTCTAGAAAAGCCCAAGACAGAAAGAATCCCCTTAATTCCTGTGATGCTTAAATGGAGGTCTCTGAATCAATTCCTAATCTCAACATGGCTATCACAGAGAAAAGACCAATTATGAAGTACATCCATAAGATATTATTTGAGCCTGATGTCGAATACGAGTCATCAAACTTCACATCTGCCTTTACAACACTGCTTGAAGTACAGCCATTCAGAAAAGCAACATTTTTTTTTTGGCCTCTGAAACAGGATAAAAGCTATAAATAAAATTCAGTGATTAAAGTCTAACTGCTGGGAAGATATTCCTGCTAACAGATGCACCAAGGGACCTTCTGACGCTCCTCGGGAAAGAGGCCATCTCACAGCAGGCCACAGCCCCACACGCTCCTTGCCTCCAAACCCCGGTGTGCAAGAATTCCTCTAAGTTCATCTTCCTCAACACCGAGGACACGGCAAGTCTTTGTGGATGTGTGCAGAACTGCTATGCAATAATCAAACGCTGAGATGTTGTAACCGCTTAGATTATAAAATGTATCAATGTATAACTGACTTTTTTTTTTTTTTCTTTTTAGGAGAGAAGATGTTGTGCTATCTATCTGCTTTCTCCTTCTGGAAAGTGATGAGTATATTGTTAGCTAATTGAAAGATAACACTCAGACATATAAGTACCAAACCAATATCTGGGCAAAAGATCTCCAAAAACGAAACAAAACCCATACACACACTAAATCCTCACCACTCCTTCTCTCAAAACAGTCTTTACCCTCTGAAAGAATGAGAGAAATAAGAATAAAGCCACACTCTGATGTGACAAAAGAGGGGAGGAAGCCTCATCTGTTCATGAGAATGTCTTTTTAAGACACTATGTAAATTAAAAATTTCCTACCCGTGCCACAAAATATTGCTTTTACCTTCACCCTTGTTTCCCTTTATAAAACTTTTGGAAAGTGTCATTTTAGAAGAGAGACTGGATTGTTTTGTTTGTTTTAATACTACTGTCTTTTCCAGAACAAACACAAAATTGCTTAGCTTGACAGATACTATATATCCAATAAGGATACTCTGACTTAGTAACAGGACTATGATTTTTTTTTGCAGCACTAGAATTAGCTTTTACCATCACTGTCTGTGAGGTTTCAAGGAGATCCGGAGTGTTCCACAATAACAATGGTTGTCCTTGCCACATATGCAAGATTTGCTATCTCATCTCTGAGGGGACGTATTTTAATCTCTGTCAGGCTCATCTGACAGAAGAAGGAAAAAACAAAAACAAACAAACAAAAAAAACCCACTACCATCCTGCAGGAACTCGAAATCAGCAATATCTTGAGGATCAGCCTTAAGGAAACACTCTTTTCCCTGTTTCAAATCTTATTCTGTAATGCTTAAATAAAAGTTTAAAAAGGGATACTCCTCCTACAGTTCACTCTTACCATAAAACTAGAGGCAAAATAGCATTTCCCATTCAAGCAAAATCTAGGATCAGAAAATTAACAGCACAGGAATCCTGTTTAAAGGTCAGCAGCTGAGCTAAATGCGACTACAACACCTCTTGGTAAGGAAAGCAAGAGACACTGCAGTAACAAGGTTGAACTGCACTGCTTTAGCTTCAGGTCTACATTAACGGCAGATATTGTATATCTGGCTGAATTTGCATAGCCTTTTGCACACTGTAACTAGCTTTATGGCCTGCCAATAATTTCTTCCTTTCATGGGCCATTTCAAAATAGGCTTTTTTTTTTTAAAAAAAAAAAAAAAAAAGGATTTGATGGGAGGATCAGACAGTGTTAGCTTACTTTGGTTAAAAGCTTGGCTTTGTTTTCTCCTGCAGGAGCATGTTTGTTAGAAAACATTTTTGCAAAAACCAAACACTAGATGCTGCAAATAAACCATTTTCCATAACAAATTCAGTTGAATTATACTCAAAATCTCTTTTTCTGGCATTTATGCTATCTTTTTTGTGGTTTCCAAGAAAGTCCCTAAGTTGACAGGCGAGTTCCAAGTTCCTCTTGTGGAAGCAGCAATTAGAGAAAGCAAATGGTGCCTAGGACACCCACTCTGTATTTCCTGTTTCAACACTGATTTTTCTCAACGATCTTGTCAAGACATTTAATTACTTTCTGCCTGCTTCCTTATTGGCAAAAATCAGATTTCCACCACCTCCCCCCTGTGCGGAAAATCTCGCTGTCAAGAACTGAATGTCCAAAAAGGAGACACAGGAGTCCTAAAACTTTATTCGAATAAAGGGAGAGTCCACCGGGCATATCCCTGTGGGGGTCTCTCAAATTGCTGGGGGACGCAGCCCCCCTTTTATCCTAATTTCCCGACCGAGGGACGCCCTCTCCTTTTCCCCATTGGCCAAGGTACTCAGAAGTTACAGCCTTCCCGGCCGCCTACACCGAACTCCGGCCTCCCGCCATCTGTTCTCACCTGAGCTCAGCAACTCCTTTGTCCCCCTTGTTGAAGAATGTGGGGGAATTGCCCTATTTCTCTCCTTTGTAAAGGCCCCCATCTCGTTGCAGATGGCTCTTTTTGTCATGGCTCCACTCAGTCTCCCCTCCCTTTGTCCTGCTCTTCAGCCAAACTGTGGAGAAACCCCCTTATTGATGAATACAGAAACTTGAGCATTCCGCTCACCCTTTTGAAACACTATAAAGTTGCTTATTATGGAAAAGGTTCATCAAATAGATAACCTGACTTTCAAGCTTGTAACACTGGATGAAAAACACAATGGCCATGTAACAAAAACACGCGTTAGCATACAGAAATGGTTCAAACTGTTAAAAAATAACCAAGGAGCCAATCCTTCACCTAGAAACTTTGTATCATGAGAGGTAGTAGTTCATCATAGGATCTATGACAGCTGCATAAGGGCAAACCATAATAAAGATGATGGAAAGCAAAAAAAGCTAGCATAAATTTTGCTGTTTCATCTAATTTACAAGTGTGATTGTTTAGCCAAGCCCCTTCTTGATCACATACGTGCTGCTGGTGACAAGCAATGTTCAGACCTGGGATTAATGCTAACGGCATGACAGGCTCAAGTATGCAAATGCAGGAGTAGTTTGACAAGGGCTAATGGTGACCAGGCATTCTTAAGTCAGCTCAAATTAGTACAAACCCTCATTCACATCTTTATGAACGACCAGAGGCTCTTTCGTGCCCACTCCAGTGATCCTGGCTAGCCAACACATGTGCTCTTATCGCTAATGAGCCAAGGCACATACTATTAATGGAATACATAACAGCAGCCTTATTATGAGTCATCTCACCATCACTCTTTTTCTAGAGAAAATGTAGGTTGCTCTGAAGATTATATAATAGTGATAAGAAAGGAAGCAAAGCAGGGAGAGAAAAGTGTGATTTCTATCTGTTATCCAGCTATGCAAGCCTGGCTTGGCTAATGACAGGCAACACACCAGAGCAATCAAAAAGTATTTTTTTTTTTAAATTTAACATACTGCCCATTCAGATTTTCCAAAGTGCTTTACAGTCACTATCCAGAAGAAACTGCAAAACAGCAGAGCACTGAGGGAAACACAGCATCTTGCTGCACCAACAACCCAAATGGCACCCTGGAATTTAGGACAGCTTTTCTGCAGGATACAGAGCTAGTTCACCTGCGCAGAGATGCCGAGGACGTGCAGATTTTGACACCACCGCCAACTTTCTCAGGTGTTTCACCAAGATGGGCACCCCAGGCAGCTCCCCCAACACACAGCCATAAGCACTCTTCCTCAGCTCCAAGAAATAGCATCGCGCCTGCCTCTCGGCCCGCATTTCCCGCCCCATCCGCGCCCTCGAACACCACCATAAGAAGGCAGAAGAGGGACACAGGAGCCGCGGTGCCTTCAGGCAAGGGCGGCCTCGAGAGGAGGCGCTGCGGCCAAGCGCGGCCCCACACGCTGCGGAGCTGAAAAACGGCTGCAAAAATCCCGCCGATTGGCTCCCTCTTCCCGCCCAAACCTTGATTGACAGCTCCCCGTGAGGCCGGGTTGCCGCCTCGGCGCGGAGATGGCGGCCGGTGCGGGGTGTCCGGACCGCAGCTCGGAGCCGGGGCATCTGTTTGCCCGTGGTAACAGCCGCACAGGCGGCAGCGACACCACTTCTCTCCTTGGCAGCGCCACAACGTGGCCCCTGAAGCGCTACGGCCGCTTCTTACCGCCATCGGACGGCGACGACGAGGAGCAAAGAGGCACCTCATGGAAGGTGGGGCGGAGAGGGCAGGCTAAGGGCCGCTTCCCAACGGCCGCCTCTCCCTGTGGTGGCCCCTGCTGGCCCTTCCCGTCCAGCTGAGTTTTCCCGTTTTCCTGCCCTAGAGCGGTGTGTGGGTGTCTCTGCCCTAACTGGCCGCAGGAGGGCTGTGCACGTGCTTTTTTTTTTTTTTTTTTTAAATAAATCCTGGCTGCCCAACACTGTTATTTAGTCTCACACGCTCATTAAATTGTCTAGCGCCTTATATAGCCTCGGTCCCTGGATCTTAGCACCCGATATTGTGGGATTGCTGGTGGGTTTCTAGCTGTCACCCACACTTTTTAAAGCTACAATAAAGCTGGATGTGAAACAGTGTAGATAAATCAATGTAGAATAATCTGTGAAAATACTAGGCATCTTCCTTCTTCTGAACTAGCTTGTGTAGAGGTGGCTGGGCTAGCTCTGTGCTGCAATTCAGGCTGCAAATATGAAATAAATGCAGGAGCCAAGAGATTCTGCTTCATGAATTACTAACAACCACTTCAATGATGTTGTAGTAGCCCATTTTCTTCCTCCTTTAGGAGTGACTTGTGATATTAAAAATGGCTGAAATCTATGGCTTAAGTTGGAAGAGTTCATATGGTTGCTTAGATTTAAGAAGCTGAACTCTTATATGGAGTTGTAATTTATAAGAACTACTTGAACGTGCCTGCTTTATTTGGGATTGGAGGGCAATTTGCCTTTCTGAGAAGTAATTCTGTATGTTTGATTTCAGGCACCTCCAGTTAAAACAATTTGTTTTACACCAGAAATGGAATACGTGAATTCTGAACATTGTAAACGTGCATTTATAAGGCTATATATATGTGGGTTTTTTTTGGTCTTTGTTTTAAAAGGTTTTTGAGTCAAACGAAGAATCAGGCTATCTTATCGTCACCATTGTTGTGTCTGGACATTTCTTTATTTCCCAAGGGCGAGCAGTATTGGTAAGTTTTTCTTCCTCCTATGTAAAGAACATTTCTCCATGCATTTATCCAAGCATCAGTCTTGACTCCTTTTCCCTTTTTAGCTTCACGTTCTCTCCGGTGAAAGGAAACGGGCAGCTTTATTTTGCTCATGGAAAACTTCCTGTGGTGTTTTTTCCTCTGTGTTCTGTATGTTTGTTAGAATAATCTGAATATTTCATACTGAAGTACAATGTTTTTTCTATGGCTCTAAAAATGTAGAATTAAGATTGGTGCTGCTGATGTTGAAACATGCTTTTGTTTTTATTTTTTCACGTGATTCTTCTACCTCAGCAAAGAGAGTAAATATCCTGTTAATAGGTTAAAATGCAACTATAATGTGAAAAAATCTTGCAAGATTCACTGTATAATCCAACGAGTATTTTGCCAATACTTGTTAGCATTGTATTTCTATAATTTGTTTTTTTTTGTTGTTGTTTCTTTTTATATTGGGTTATGTGGTCTAAGATATGTCATTTTAATATTGTAGGCACAACAGCAACTTCAAAATTGTATTAACTGGATTTGCTGTAGCCTTATGTTTCAGGTACTAAATTGCAAAGATTTCACAATGATGCCAAAGAGGTCAACAGAAAGTCCATTTTGAAGAAATTGGTTTGATGCTGAGATTGCACTATGCCTTGTGATAGAAAAAGGCCTGTGCTGGAAAGTGGGATCACTTGTGTTCCGTGCCTATCATAGATACACAGTGATGATAAGATATAGGAAATGTCTGATAAATAGTAGAAAGCTGTTATAAGCTATTGCAAAATACTGCACTCTTAAGATAGAAAAAAATCTACACAGAATCTGTAAGAGTGTGTGCTGTAGATTTAAATACATACAACGCTATAAATTATATTTTCCTTTGCACCTTAAAAGGTCTTTGTACATACGTCTTCCAAGCCTAGGTGAAAACGGGATTAAGACAGAAGGAGACTTTGGCAGTTTTTTCTTGGTCCGGTTCTGGTTTAGGTTTGAGACTAGGACATAATCTGATCCTATGTCAGCATAATGCATAGGGTGTGATTCATCTGATAAGAAGTAAACATCCATATTAAGGATGTAGTAATCCTTTGAAGTAGCTTTTCTGCGACAGTTTTCCTGCCTTTGGGCAGATTGCTCATTTCCTCCAGTTGTATAATGGGAAGTAAAAGAATTCAGGTTCTGAATGCCTAAATGAGAAATTCATAGTTAGACCACAAGTCAGCATGCGTTTATAAAACGTTTTATGAAAGAGCTGGCAGTAATGATGGCATGTTAGTTAAAATGGATATTCACATTTGGCTATCACTATATTAAGAGTGGCAGGTACTAGGTAAGGCCTAGAAGACATGTCATGGAAGTCTTAAAATATGTCTCTTTTTTAATACTGGGATTTTATGTTGACTATGACAAATTATGCTCCAAACATAGTAAGATGGTAGGTTAAATAAAGTGTTTAAGCATCTGCAAGAGAATAGTAACTAGATATCAAAGAGTGTTGTTTGTTTGTTTTTAATTTCTCCAGGTAAATAGCAAAACACTGAATTTGAGCTCAGTAATGTCTCAGATGAACTCTAGAGACATGTGGGATATGAGATGGTGCATCACTAACGTAGCGAAACACTCTAAGGCAATAGATGAAATCTTGCAATCTCCCTGTCCAGATGGCATATAACAAAAAAGTTTAATTATTGGGCAATTTATGTTATTGCTGCAGAAATAACCAGACTATAGAAGTAGCTAATTTCACTGGTTCTGTCTCTCTGTGGTCTCCTGCTCCTGGGAGTTGTGAGAAACTGGTTACAATATTTAAGCAGGCGTGGCACAGCCAAGCTCATATAGTCTTTGCAATTGTCACAGACCAAATCTTCTCGCTGGGTGTTCATTGCAATGGATGTTTTTTCACAAAGGATAATGTGAAATGCACAGGTTTCTGCTCCAGAGGGAATGCTCCAAGTCTGATAGAGTTCTGCACTTGCAGTGATTCAACTGATGTTCTTGCTGCGTGCTTCATTCGTTCTTGCTGGCATGGGCCTCTGAGTCTCTCCTTTTAAATGCCAAAGTGTTCTCCAGCAGCCGTCTGCTGCCTTACTCGCTTGCAGTGGAATTCCCTCTGATGTACTTACAAAACTATTTCTTGCTATGTAGTAACTACATCTTTTAAATTGTTGAAGTTCAGTCTTTTGATCTATCTTCCAATCCCTTCTTTACAGACCCTTTGATGTACAATAGGCTCCTGGTTTTGAGGAGGCTGGATACCAACTGTGTTGCTTTGTGCCTTATACAGCTGCAGAGGAAGACAGTGAGGCACAAGATCCATACATAGCCCTGTTCCGTACTGCCTGGGGGGCTCATGCATGAATTTCATGGGACTTCCATTGTCTGCAGAACCCTGGAGAAAAACAAATCATAGGTGACATTATTCTCTTCATAGCGTACCGTGAAGACATTTTGCAGTTTACAGATATTAAAGAATGATAGAAAGGATTTTCTGGGAATTATGTTCCTTGGTTTAAGCATGGTTGGTCTAGTTAGGCTTGGTTTACTGTGAGGGTGTGATTTAAGTCAAGAGCTACCATGCTAATGTTTTGAATGACATAAGACTTGGTCTTAATGTATTAAATAATATGCGTGTGTGTGCGCGTGTGTATATATAAAAAATATATCTCCCAAGCACTGCTCCTCAGAATTTCCTGCCTGGTTTGATTTTCCTGAGACAGTTGCTATTGATAGAAAAATAACCCATTTTTTAAGATTATAGAACCTTTTTAGAAAAGTAATGTTTTTCTCATGGGAGAATATCAAGCAATCACCAATATGTAAATAAATAAATTGCAATCTGACACCAGCAAATTTTCCCTCAAGGTCAGTATCTTAGCCACCAGTTACAGACAGCCATTTGAAAGAAAAATGAAGAAGTTCAGCAGTGGACAGTTACTCTGTTGTCACAAGGACCATTTCCTTTTCAACTGAGTAACTATATTTTATTTTTCTAAAATTTCTGTGGATGGGTAATAAAATGTAATCCAAGAATGAACTGGTAACTAAATTTAGAAAATCATTAAATGGTGGATTTGCCAAATAATATTATTTTTTGCAATAACATTTTGTAGTAGTAAGAGAAGAGCAGAAGCCTCCCTCTCCCCTGAGGTTTTATTTTGAACTATTCTGAGCAAGAAGTTTAAAAACAGAAACCCCCCTGAAACGCACAAAAATGTCATCTAACATCCCTAACAAAGAAATTTTATTAATTGGACACTTTAAAAATGAACAATATTGCACAATGAGCTATTCTTATCTCTTCTGGTTTAAAATTGGCATGGAATATAGTTATATCAGTGCATTAGTGGATTCAGACTATCTTGTTTTGTACCTTCTATTTTCTTTAATAAGATAAAATTCAGAATGTCTGTTCTTTAGTGGTGTATGTATTTTACAAAAGCTAAAAAGAACCCTTTTAACTGCCTGCAAGTTCTGCTTTAAGCTGATAATATTATGGCTGGATGCTTTTTTAAAAGTCCAGCAAAATATACAAATCACATAAATCTCTGAACTTCAGACTTTTCTCTTTATTTTTGTGTTGTAAATGTTAGCATTAACAGAAGTAGTGCTTGCCTAAACTTGGTACTCATCAGCTTTATTTGTTAATTTTCTGCAAAACTGATCTCTGTTGGCGAACATTCTAGTGATAGCTCCAAATGTTTGCTCTCTTAGTGATTCTTCTCTGAAACATTTTCATAGCCAGTGTTGATTTATGTACTAAAATACAAAAATTATTCCCTAGAGCATATGCTGTAGTCAATGTGAAAACAAGAGGAGATAGCTTTTGTGCGAGTTGTTTACTCAGTGAGGGCTCTTGTTTAGCGTCTACCTTTCAGTAACACTCAGCTTTCTCTACATCTCCATATGCACACAAGTGAAGTGAAAGACATATTCATAAATATAAAATCTGTATTTAATTGATGGTTGGATTAATCCCTTCCATTCTAGGAAAAATATTTAGGCGTTTCTAACTCTATACCAAAAGGCTTTCTCTACAGTGGACATGCATAAGAAAATTAAAAGGAGAGAATCTGTAAAGCAGGAGTGTAGGAAACCTTTTATTTTACGCAGCTAGAAAATTGTAGCTATGTAGAGCCAAGTGAGTTGAGTCTATGGCTCTTTTATGATCCATCTCTAATACTTTGAAAGTAGCAATATATCTTCACACATACTAATCAATTTTTTAAAAATATATTCAGTAGACTATAGAATATTTTAATGAGTGTTAAAATGGTAGGGTATTTGATGAATTCCTTTCTAGCAACTTTTTGGCTAATGGAATTTGCAAGACTGCTTTCTTGCCAGAAAGAATTCAGCCTCAGCGCTTATTTTAAATCAGTCAGATTAGTATAGAACCTTGTGCTCGGTATGGTGATGTGTGGTGAGGTGCTATAGCTTTGACACAATTGATTATTATTTGAGAATACTTCAGAATTGATTATTAAAGTTTAATTCCATGGTACTGTAACAAATAATTGTGTGTAACTTTGGTGTTTCCATCAGTCGCACAAAGAAAACCAACAGTTTATTTTGATGGGTAAACTTGGGAATGGGTATACCTCCAAGATTGTTTTAAACTTGTTTTAATGGAAGTGCCAGAGACTTATTTGAAATTGTCTTAATAAGGAAACAACTGTTTTCCTTTAAAAATACAATCTGCTTCTTGTGATGTCAGATAGAGTGAAGTGGAGGGTAAATGGAGCTTTAAGGATTGGAACATTAAAATCCTTTATGTGTAATGCAAATGAAAGTGCTTTTTCCTTTTTTTTTTTTTTAAATAAAAAGTTCTTAATTTGGAATCAATTTGCATAACCTTTTTAGCACATGTTTTTGCTGTAATGTGGCTGCCAGATTGCTTATCTTGTTATATGAAATCTCATTCTTCCATGCTGTGGATGATAGGATTTCAACAGGGACATCTCGATGGCATATCTGGCCATTCCTGGCCATGCTGT